ACGCTCGATCGAATGAATGCCCTTCTGAGTGGCCGTCGACATACTGATGCTCTGTCTGCCTGTGTGTGTGTGTGTGTCTGCCCCTCTGCCGTACTTGCACACCATGTACGTCTGTCTGCATCATCCCTGACTGCATCACATGCATGATCGATCAACCATATGTCTGTCCAGCTAGCTTTAAGCCCTCTCGACGGGCCCTCCCTGCTGCTGTTGGTGTGTCCGCCCCTCCCAATTCATACATACCATCGGTGTTGCTGTTGCAAGCAGTTTTGTCACTCACTCATCGCTTGCGCAGCACGGATTCCATGTACGTGTGTACGAGAGGTGACGGATGGCATGCCCTGTCTGTATGGATGATCCCACGATGCTAGCACGCTGCTGGGATGCACACACCTGCCTGCCTGCATGCGTTGATGTGTGCTTGCTCGGAGACGTATGGAATGAATGGACGGACCTTGCTCATTTTGTTCGTGGGGTGGGCAGGGGGGTAGGTAGGTGGGTAGCTGGGTGCGTGGCCACACTCCACATCTCTGTCTAATGCGCTGACCGACCGACCGCTCGATTACACACGTACGTACTGGCCTGCCCGCCTATCTATCGATCTATGTGCCTGTCTGTCTGTCTGTCTGCCTGCCAGTTGGGTGCGGCGCTGTGAGATATGATGACAGTGAATTAGTGGACGGAGAGGCCTATGCACTCACGGCCCATCGCTCCCCCCACCTGCTTACCTATGTGCTTGCGGACGGACGAAGGACTTGAGTGACTGTGAGATGGATGGATGGATGGATGGACGGGATGGATCGATGGCTGGCTGTTGTTGGTTTGTATGTATGCATAGTATTTTTCTCCTAACGGCTTACATACACACACATGACCACGCCACGCTTTCACATCATCGCATGTTGTCTCTGCCATCCGCTAACCACACACGATGATGTCACACAAGCCCGACACGGGACACGCCCTCCACGAGCAGTATGCCGGTGAAAATCGACAGAAACACACTGCAGATATAAAATGTAGGGAGCGATCGGTGGTCGCTCTTCCCCAGGGAGCCGCTCTTCCCCGCATTTCCCTTGACATCATCTTGATCTTCTTTTGTTGGCTTCCCCGCACTCACACAGCAACTGCACCGAACAAACGGACGGACACACACCATGCATCTCGCTGCCCGGCCACATGCGGTCTGTGTGTATCCCTGCCTGCACCTCACCTCGGGCTCCTGGTGCATCAGCGCCTTCAGCTTCCAACACACCAAATCCGGCGTGTCGCTGTACACGTCCGGCATCCCTAACAAACGCGCCCCAATGCGCTGAGCCAGGCGGGCCCCCGGATCCGTCCGAGAGGCCATGTCGACTCGTGAACGTCACCACGCCCAACACAGAGCAGCAACGTACTGGGCTTCCGCGCCTCGAGACGAGCGATGGCTTGGAGGGCCTTCCGGCACTTCTTGATCTTCTTGAGGATGATGGTGAAGCTCTGCTCCTTCTCCTTCAGGTGTTTCATGAGCCGCTCCTCGTCCTGCCGGGCTGACTGCCCCGCCCAACACAGAGGCGCCTGCAGAAGTCGATGAATGAATCGTCAATTTTGAGCATTGGCCTTCCGCCCTCGTCCAGCCGTACCTGTCCGATGCCGTCAATAGCCCTCGTCGCTGGCGGCACCAGCCGAGGCGAAAGGCACCAAGAGAAATCGCTGACCGCTATAGCTGCTCGAACCACCTCAGGGTGCGCAGCGGTGCGCGTCGACTGCCGATGATGAGCCTGTTGCCGTCGAACACGTGGTCGGGGCGTGTGGGGTCGACGCGGCATGCAGCGTGCAGTGCCTCGTACGTAGTCACTGAAACACACAGACACAAAAACACACATACACGAAGGCATGCCAGCCATGTCACGACTATCCGTCACGAGTGGTCGTGTGCGTCGCGGTAGGCACGCAGCTCTAATTCGAGGGCAGCGATACGGGCGTGTAGGTGCTTCTTGTGGTTCTGGATGGCAGCATACACACAAATGAATGTGTCCAGATGGATGGATGGACGTACGGGGGGCCAGTGTCAAGCTTGTGTGTAAAGGTCTGTCTGCTTTGCTTACGTCTCGCTCTTTCACCAACTCCACCAGCGTCTTCTGCACACATCAATCAATGCACGATGCGCAAATGGACATATCGCGTGCAGAGAGAGAGCATCGAACGACATAGGTGTACTTACTGTGCATGGTCGCACCTGTCTCTTCGCGAGTGTGTCGATGCTGTCCCTCGCACGGAAGAGCTCCTCCCTCAACTCCCTCGCCTCCCCTGCACGCACACAGACACACAGACACCATTGTGGATTTCTGTGTGTCAGGGGGCGGCCCTTCGTGCGGTGGCATGTCTGCGTCGGGGGGCGGGGGCGCGTCGCGATAGGCACGCAGCTCGTTTTCGAGGGTACGGATGCGTTTCTGGATGGCAGCATACACACAAATGAATGTGTCCAGATGGGTTGATAAGCGTACGGGGTGCCAGCGTCAAGCTTGTGTGTGAAGGTCTGTCTGTCTCCTTTGCTTACCCCTCGCTCCCTCGCCAGCTGCACCAGCTTGTCCTGCACACATCAATCAATGCACAAGAAATGCGCAGATGGACACATCGCATCGCGTGCAGAGGGAGAGCATCGAACGACATAGGTCTGTGGATGGTCGCACCTGTCTGTACTCGAGCTTGGCGATGCTGCCGAGCGCACGGAAGAGCTGGTCACTCATGTCCCTCGATCTCCTTGGACGGACAGACACACAGACACCATTCTTTGTGGATCTCGTTCTTTGTCCCCACTGTTGCTGCCTGAAGACTCACCCTTGAAGTGGTGGTGCTCTTTGATGAAATGCTCCACCTGCCGTTTCGGCCCCTCTATCAGGCCTGCATCGTAAACCGACACAGACATGGAAAGAGCCGTGCACACGCACCCCACCCAGCACTCGTGCGTCCTGACTAACGGGCATTCCCCTGGGACTTACGGCGGGCCTCCTCTGCGATTCGAACTTTCTGCTCCTTCGAAGCGGCGGTCTTCTTAGCGGCGGACGCCGTCATGAGGTCGACCGGCGCCGCCGCTGCTGCTGCAACTAATGCTGCTGGTGCCGGCGAGGGCATTCTCATCTCAGGGGGCGGCATGGCGGCAACGGCGGCTGAGGGGGGCGGTCCATCCCAACGGGCGCCCAACGGGCGATAAGATCACGCGCCACAGCCGAGCGAGGCGAAGGGTACAGTGACGAGCGTGACCATGTCGTGACGATGTCGTAACGATGTCGTGAGGAAATGAGAAAAAAGAGAGGAAAAAAATCCCGTCTCGACGCGGGTAAATCTCGACATAGGAGCTGTTTGTGTCTGTGGCTGGAGATCTCTCAGCACCATCCCTCGCCTGAGGCCTCAAGACACTCACGATGCAGCCCACCGGTGCGGCGCCCTCACCCCGTCCCCCCAGCCCTGCCCTCTTCCAGCCCGCCGACCTCTTTGACCTGTCATTGCCCGTCAGCAAGATGGCTGCCATGGCCATGTCGACTGACGATGCCAAACGAGCCGCTCTCCGCTCGCAGATCGTCACCCGCACTCGGCAACAGGAGCTACTGGGCCACACTTCGGAGACCGTCAAGACCACCCTGCTCAACGCCGTTCAGCAGCACATCGACAAGACCATCAGTCGTCTTGGCCTGGCCGACGTGTTGGCCTTCGACATTGGCGATGATCTGGAGGCCGGCTTGAAGGCGGTCTATCTGCTGGAGCGGGGCAGTGGCGAGGAGTGGCGGGCGATGGGTCCATTCCTTCGGCTGGCATTCATCCATCGGCTCACCCCTGCTGATGCGACGCGGCCCCTTCATCTGTCGGCCGACTCGCTGCCCACAGCAACGAACTTCCACCAGCTGCCCCTCGCCATGGCCATCTACAAGACCGTCGGCCACCTGCTCATATACACAGGCACCAGCCTGGCGCTGCAGCACGGCAATGACGGACTCTATCGGATCGGCCATGTGACGTTTCGTGTGGTGCCGTTCGGTGATCTGCCGGGCGGCCATCGCTACGCTGACGGCTACAAGCGGACCGATCCCGTCATCCGCGGGGCCGAAGGAGCCGAGCTCTTAAGACCCAACTGGCTCTTTTCCTCCTTCTCGACATTCCTGCTGGCCTCGATGCTCTTCTGGTGGTGGGATAGACAGGGGGTGGTTCGCAATACGGTGGTGCTCACTGCACGCATCGGCCGTGATAACCCGCGCTTTGGCCGTCTGCTGACCGACAACATCACAGAGGATTTGGGCATCGCCGTCGACTATTGCTACGATCAGGGCAATCTGAATGCTGCTTTGTGGTGGGACCATCGTCGTGTGATTGTGAGCGGCTTCCAACCCAACGAGAAGATCGCTGCCTCTCTGTTTGTATGGTGCCCGGGCACCATCCAGCTGTGGACGAGCGAACGACCTGCTGCTGATGCCCGTGCATCAGTCGCCGACCGCTTCCCCGGGTCGGTGCCCCTATGGTGTGCTGTGCTGCGGCGATTCGAGATCGAGAGTGACGTCATCGACAGGGCGTTTTTGGCGAGGTGAGTGACGGAGAGACAAATGTTCATCGAGTGGGGGCATGAGGTGGCCTCCGGGTTCTCCTGACAATTTCTTTCCATCTGTGCGTAGCCTTCTCACTTGTCTGTCATGCACTGGCTCGTGTCATCTCTCAACATACAGCACAGCCGACATTCGAACAGATTAGGTCTCTTAAGGTAGGTACCAAGGTTATTGGCTTCCCGAAACTAAAGTCTCTCTCGATCAAATGCACTCGGCGAGGACGGCAATGCCATCTGCACAGCTGAAGAGCGCATACACCACACGGCCACACAAACACGACCTGCACACACGCCCACACACAACAGACACATGAGCTCTCTCCCACCAATGTACTGCGTTTTTCTCACCTGATGAGCGTGTGTGCCTTGGCGTGCCGCAGTGTTCGGGTCCAGGCCTCCAGCAGTGCGCTCATGCGTCTCGCCAGGGACGGCCGCACACATCGGATCATCCAACACACCCCGCCACACACACCAGGAGGCGGGCAAGCGGCTGTGGAAGAGCTTCCGGCAGCTGATTGCGTCTCTGGGCGAGACTGGTCATTCCCACTGTGTCGTCTCTGTCGCAGCGATGGCCACCCCGACTGATCCCCGGTTGTGTCTGTGGCCACCTGATGTCCTTCGTCGCGTGTCGGCTGTGCTGGGGATGGCAGCAGGAGGGGTCCGTCGGTGGCAATGGCCTCGCCGCTGGCCAGGCTGACAGCACACGGGGGCTGAAAGCAAGAGAGGCTTGCAAGGGGGAGGCTGTTGACCACCACCAGCAGAGACTGCAGCAGTAATAAGGGACCTGAATGCATACATACCCAAAGATAACACGGGTGTGTGTTGCGCCTGTGCTAGCTGCTGACCCGATGCCCTGATCCATATGATGAGGAATGCGATGTAGAAGACCATGTGTGTGGAGAGCAGGCAGGTCAGCACGGTGAAGAGCAGAGTGCCCACAATAAGCTGCTCGAGGTCATACGCACAGCTGTCCACGCGCTCGCGCAACACATTCCACTTGACGCCCCTGCACCCAATAGTACACACACACATAGACACATCCTGGTCTCCGTCTGGGTGTGTGTGCGTGTCTGTGTGGTCAGTGCACCTGAAAAGCCTCGAGAGTGCGAAAATGCAGCTGATCGAGACGCTCCATAGACGCGCCAAGCCGACATAGATATAACACAACTGCGCACACGCAACACACACATGCAAGGATGCACACTGGCCATTGGTGCATCGCTGTGATGGTGCCTTTCGTACGTGCAGCGTGGCGATTGTGAGCATCCTTGTACGTACGTGTAGTGTGGCGATTGTCAGGATGTCGATGGCCATGGCCAGCTGGAATGACACGCCAAGGCCCGCAACACCACACAGGCCCACCAATCTCACCAGTGCCGGCAGGTACGCCGCCAGATGGCCCGTCAAATCGCCCCTGTTCAAATGGAAGGATGCGCCCATTCCGTTGATGCGCTCTGCGCTCTCTCTCTTTCCCAGCTGACCATAGTTCGATGGTTGTGAGCATGAGTCCGCCGAGGAATCCGCCGACCGACCGGTTCACCTTGACGCCCAGAGGGGCAACCATCAACCATTCCAGCTGACGCCTGCACACGAGGACGAATGGCATGGATGCACACATCTCGTGCTCTTGTCCTCTCCACTGCTGCCGGCAGGCTGGCCTACCTGAGGCCGTCGGGTTCGGTGAATGCGTAGAGTCTCGCCAGGGTCGACAGTATGGGGCCGTCCCGTGTCGATCCATAGCACCAGACGGCCATGCCGATGGTGATGCCCATGAGCATGTCGAGAGCCACCCACCGCAGCGAGACCTTCGTGGCCGCCCGACTCAACCAGGCAGAATCACGCCACCTGAGAACACCATACCGAAGACACACAGTCCTTCTGCGTGGCTGTGTCTGTGCGTCGCCTTACATGCCTTGTTCGATCATCCGTTGGGCCGTTTCCCGTCCGCCGCTCTGATGATGCTCTCCTCCAGCCCACTGACTGCACAACTGCCACTTGGCCATCGCCTGCTGCACACACATGGGCCGATAGCCGATGGCCGCCCTCTTATCCCTCTCATGTGCGTCCCACGATAACGAAGCAAAGAAGCCGCTGACGCGGGCAGCCAGAAGCGACGCGGGGATGATACGCTCCGTCTTGGAGCATATCGACGATGCAGCGCCCATGAAGCGAGCCCCGCAGACCAGAACGAAGGCCTCCCAGCCGAGCAGGGCAGGCGGGCTTGGACTCTCGACGGTTGCTGTGCTGTTGTCTGTGGTCGCCAGACTGGCTGACAAATCGACGGCGCTGCGCAGATGGCGTCTAATGGTGGGCGGGATGAAGGGGGGCGATAGGCCGGAAGGTGGCGGCGGATTGGGAGGGGTCAAGGGCCAGTGTGTGAGATTGGTCTGGGGGTCGATGAATGCGATGCTGCACTGGTCATCCGGGGGCATGACAGCCACGGGGTGGTCGGAAGAAGATTGGGGGACGATCAACGAGCTGCAACGAAAGCAAAAGAACGATATCTACAGGATATCTTGGCTGCAGATGTCTGTTGACTCACTCGACGCGTACAGGAAGAAGACCGTTTGCACCGTGGCAAGAGGCGGCCACACGGAGGGTTAACCACGGCAGAGAGCGGCAGCCTGCACAGCAGGCGATAGATAAGGACGTGCAGAACTAAGTCTTGTGCTGCTTCTTACCGTGAGATATGATTGCTTCGCGGCCGTCCTCCGTTTGGTCTGCTGCCGATGTTGGCGCCCGCCACTCGCCGACAACGGCCATCTCGCCGTCCACTTCGCGAGCATCCTCGTCTGCTGGCCGCTCCGGCCTGTTCCCGTCCTCTTCCTGCACATTCACACACACACGAACCCATGTCACTCTCGCCTCTGCCTTTCCCAACGATTCCCTTCCTCACTCACATCGGCAGCGTGTGTGAAGACGGCGAGGATGTGCCACGTTGTCACGGCACTGCCTCCCGTCCCCTCATTGCTCATTGCGGTGCTCTTGTGGGCCCATCCGACGAGAAGGCCGCGCGAGATCTTGTCTGTATGATGCAAGAGGCTGCTGAGGGAGGGCGGAGCGGCGACGGTGATGAGTTCAAGGCGATGAATGGGCGGTGAGGTGGATAATGCGCTCATGGCCGAGGAAGTCTCCGGCGTCTTCTGCCTCTTCAGTGGCGCAAATCTCCCCAGGCAGATCAGATCTCGGGATCTGGGGGGAGATTTGCGTTTCCCTTGCTAAGCTCGCGTGTAGCAGGTTGATTCATCGTCTCCTGTACCATACTGTCCGTGTTTCCCTTGCAGTATGTGTTTAGATTAGCCGCACGAATGAGGGTACTCTTTCAGCGGCTCCACCCAGCACAAACAGCCACACACTGTCACTCCCCGAACCGGCAGACAGACGAACGAGTACAGGCTGGCTAAATGCAATGCCATGGATTGACACCCACTCAGCCGCTCAAAATAGACAGGACTCTACATGCCTACAGGTCAGTCAGTCAGTCAGTCGGCCCTTTGCGCACCGCCGCTCGCATCGTCAGTACCCCACATGTGTCTGTCTGTCAGGTCAGCCTCTCTCCGCATCTCTGTTCTGTCTCATCAGGTCAGTCAGGTCAGTGAGTGAGTGAGCGACTCAACACGGCAGATAGTAGGAGGCAGTCTTCACGTACTCATGACAAAAAATGTCAGTCAATGTACTCACGCATGAACGAATGTATGTATGGGCCGGCCGTCGCTACTGGCCGGGCATGAACTCATCCAGACCGTTCTCAGGCCCTTCACACGTCATGCCCTGCCATGCAGCAACAGACCGACCCCATGAAGTAGCATCCATCCATTCATCGATCACACACACGCTTCATGTAACACCACAGCATCATTTCCAGCATCACAAGACAGCCATGTCCATCCATCCGTTTAGACCGCCAGCCAGCCAGTGACAACGTACACACATGCAGCGCACGGATGCCCGTCGACACGAGATGGGGCCCGTCTTGGGAAGCCATAATGAAAACGCTATCGTCGCTGAGCTGCAGGCTGTCCGTCCCGCTCGTCCGCGCCACGCAGTGCACGCTTGCCTCTGTCCCCGTGTAGAACCGTTCGTTGCCGCTGGAGGCAACAGGGCTATCCACATCCTCCTCATCCTGGCCGTCCACATGCTCCCCTCCACCATTGCCTGCCGCTACTGCTTCAACGCCATGGGTAGTATCAGTGCCGCCTGGGGGACCCACAGGGATTGGTGTCCCCTGTCTGTCTGTCTGCCTGGGGTCTCCCCACGGTGCCCCCTCCCAGTCTGCGTTGGCGTCTGAAGTTCATGGGGTGGCTGTCGGATGAGGGCCGCATGAATGGGGTGGCCGTGGGCGGCTGGGGGAAACGATCCTCGTGATACGTCGACTCGTCAGGCCGAGGGAGGCCCCGGTCGTTATCTGCATGCAGCAAAAGGACGGCCGGGGATGGAGAGCAGCACACCTAGAGAAGCACACGACGCAAGTAGGTCAGGGAACATGTTGTGTTGTGTGTGTGTGTGTGTGTGTGTGTTTGGTTTGGTGGCTTGGGTTGCTCACCCTTTGAGTGACACTTCGCGCACGTCGTTGAGGCACACTTCACACCGATGGCACGACTGCTCGAAGATCCCGACAGCAGGAGGCAGCTCTGCTGCGTTGCCGTCACCCGCTCTATCCCCACTCCCACACGCACCCCCCGCGCCACCACGCAGGGGCAATGGGCTCTCGAACAATTGCGAGTCGGGCGACGGGCCCTCAGAATCGTGGCGGGCGGCGCCGACGGCTTCTGGTGGTCCCCTTCGTGCTCCTGTTGATGGTGGTCGGGGTCACGATCGCCCCGCCGTCGGGCGGTGGGCTTCCGAGTGCTGGTCCTCGAGGCTGTGTATGGTGGACGGGAGGCCGACGAGGCGACAGAGCACACCACCTGGGCTGGCCTCATGGTCCATAGACACCGTCACAGACTGCGACGGGGCTACCCGCACACGATCGTCAAACGCAACCTGGACGTCACAACAGATAAAGAGATGTCTGCCCGCCCGCCACCTCGTACGATGGTCTTGGCAGCTAGCTTACGGTCTGTCGTGGATATGTTGCACCCCTGTGTCTTGTTGTCTTGTTGCGGCTCATCCGAATCTACATGCGGGGGGAGCTGACGTGTGGACACGCGTGGACTTGCGGGGCCTTCAGGGCCTTAGCCACTGGGGGCTGACGCCCACCGCTACATGGCTGCCCTTCCACGCCACTGCTCCTTTAAGAGCTGCGGCGCTTCCAGGCGGCCATCGATGGGCCTCTCGTCAGCTCTCTCCCTCCTTGCTGCTGCTGCGCCGCTCCATCCGTGATGGCCGCTTGGTGATCCCCTCCACTTCTCCCTCTCCCGCCTAATTATCTCCAGCAGCCCCCCATCGGCCGATCCGCTGCTCATGGCGTTGGCCATGGACGCCACCGACTGCATCGAGTCCCTGGGCGACTTGATCTCGGCCGCCATCGCAGCCGCCTCACTGACATGGCCGCCATCTTCTGCAGAGGGGAGGGGGACGGCTGACGCAAAGGCGAAAGATCCTCAGGCGATATGGCCTCGGGGCCGCTTAGCTGCTGGTCGGTGGGCTTGGGAGGGATGGTCCACAGCAGATCTGGAGAGGGCGATGGACTGACGGCTGGCTTGGCGAGCCGGGCGGGGCTCTCGGGGTCTTTCGGCGCCTAGACAATTCGGATGCTCATGGGAGGGCTGCGCGGTGTGGCGCTCTGCTCGCCGAATGCTGGTGTCTTGCTCTGCATTGGGATGACGGGAGGTGGGGTGCTGGTGATCTGTGTGAGCGAGAGGTTGACGGCATGGATATCTCCTTCTCCAGGAGCTTAAGAGCGACTGCTTGAGCTCCAACAGACGGCCGTCGATGTCGTTGGCTGGCATCGGGAAGAACTCCACGCCGAAGGCCGCCTTGCCCTTGACGGCGGTGCCGATCTTGAGGCGGAAGAGGTCAGGGAATGGCGGGCCGAAGTTGATCTATGTGGGGCTGTGTGGGGCGACAGAGGGGACGGGTCGAGGGCCTCGACGCGCTCCAGCTCAAACAGGTCATTGTAGCGGTACGTACGAAAACCTCACTCCGCTGCTTCATCGTCCCTGACATGCACACAAGGGAGAGCGCCATCGGTGCGTATCTTCTGGTCTGGGTCATTCGTCCCTCCTCACCTTCATATGGTGGTGTCCATCGGTGGACACTGACGGGATGGCTCTCGGTGACCACCAATTCGATGACGCCACCGTCGCCCAGCAGCAGGCCGGCCTCCTTGCTGTCTGTGTGGCTAAGGGGGGAGGTCGCTGGAAGAGGTGCGGGGGTGGTCGTGTGCGAACGTCTCTTTGTGTGGGGGGAGCTGACGTGTGGACACGCGTGTGGACATGCGGGGCCTTCAGGGCCTTAGCCACGGGGGGGCTGACTGTCCGTCAGCCCCGCCCACCGCTACATGGCTGCCCTTCCACGCCACTGCTCCTTTAAGAGCTGCGGCGCTTCCAGGCAGCCGTCGGTGGGCCCGTCGTCAGCTTCTTCCCTCCTTGCTGCTGCGCCGCTCATCCGTGATGGCCGACTCGCCGTGGAAGGGACTCTGGCGGTCAAGCGACTGACTCATCACGACTGACGCAGCCACACACACGATGACACATGGACTTGGTTAGCCTTATCCATCCATCGTGTGTGTGGTCGTGTCTTGCGTGTTGCCTACGAGCATGCGGATGCCGGTGTGTCTGTCGTCATGGAGACCGTCTGCTGGTTCGTCCCCTGGCGACGCGGCCGCTGGAGAGCTCCGGTGGTAGTTTGGGGGCGTCTTTCTTGGCTTGCTTCTCCTTGACTAGGGCGGATGCTGCTGATGCCTTGGCAGCCGACTCGCTCTCCCGACCACCGTCTGTGGCCTCATCGTCCTGCTGCATCTGCTGTCGCTCTTGACATGAGCTGTCAGGGCTCGGGTCGACCTCCTTCTTGCTGTCCGCCGCAGGCTCTTGGTCAACATCGATGGGCTGTGGCTGCGGCTGGGGCTGTCCACTCATCCTTTGCTGATGTCGAGGTGGCAGGGGATGCCTCACTGACCTGCACGGCTCAGTAGTGTGGGGCCTGTCCACGGCTCGTTCATAAGCTCATACCCCAACACATGAGGGTTGTCCTGGAACCTGCCGGCCGCGTACCGCCACATGTTGACAGGGCCGTCTGCGCCCCCGCCACGTCGTCGTAGAGGGCCTGGAAGCTCTTGCTGACATGCTGGCTGAGGTAGTACTCGACGAAGAACGCGTTGTCGCAGTCGCTGGTGGACGGGAAATCCTCGCTGGTGGCATGGCGGCAGGATGGGAGCGGGGAAGTCGTTCATGTTGGTGTAGACGCCGTGGGGGTCGAACTCCTCCACCCAGAAGGACGGAATGCCCTCGCCGCAGAAGGGCTCGCTGAACAGGTCCTGGCGCAGATCGAGGATCGTGTAGATGCCTGCAACCAATCAACCAACCAATGGACAGGCAACAGGCGTGGCGGTTTGCGTCACTCGTGGCTGACTGACTGACCTCTGCTCGACAGCCTGTCCACTATGCTCTCAATGACCCCAAAGTATGTTGAACCCGGCTGGGCCACATAAGGCCGAGGCGCACCACGTTGAACCCCCACTCTCTCAGATGGTCTATGTCCACGTCAGAGGCGGACGGCCGATTCCTGTTGATGGTGGTCGGGGTCACGATCGCCCGACGGCGTCGGGCGGTGGGCTTCCAAGTGCTGGTCATCGAGGCTGTGTATGGTGGACGGGAGGCCGACGAGGCGACAGAGCTCCTCATTGCCGAAGGCATGCACCAACAGCCACGCCTTGTTGGGAGCGGCAGCAAGACCTCCAGTGGATGGCCCACAGTAAGGTCGTAGTCAAAGTGATAGTTCTGCGGCACGTACAGTTTCACCCCCTCCCCCTCTCGATCGATCCCCCACAGCCGCACCCACAGCAGATAGTAGCTCCCCCGGATCAGCCGCAGCCTTCCATCCGACGCAGAAAACGATGTGGGCTCCTCTTCCTCCAGCCGAGGCAGTCGACGAGGCGGCAGACCCCCGAGCAGAGGGCTCCTCCCCTCTGTGATGTTGGCGGCGAAGTAGCCCTCGATCCACTCGTCGAGCACGGGCGACGTGAAGGGGTACGCCAGTGGCAGGTGGTCCTCCTTGCCCCCCTCCTGCCTCGCAAGGTACCCCCACAGGACAGACAGACAGACAGACAGAAACGCAGGCAGGCAGGCAGGGGTAGACGTCTCATTCGAAGAAAGAAAGAGAGGGACACCACCAAAAAGAGTACGCGTCGAAAAAGAAAAGGTGTCGGCCGCCAAACAAAACACTACTGTACACGGGCGACCGACGCACATCAGAGAAAAAGTCAGTGGGAGCGCTCGGGGGCGCCCCACCAGATAGAATAGACCCCCCACACCATTCTCATCCACCAGTCCTGCCGCGCCGACCTCACCCACCAGGTGTTGCCCTCCCCGCGCTCCCACAGCATCATGCCGTTGACGTCGTCCTCGTACCACCCCTCCTCCGCCTCCCCCTCCACTCCAGCGAGGCCGGTCAACTCGACCTGGGTGGCCATGAACGGCTGGAACTGGAGCTTCGGGGGGGCGGGAGGGAAGGGGCGCGTGTAGTGGTAGTAGTGGTGCTGTGAGGCGGGTAGGGTGGGGGAGTAGGTGATGGGTGGGTTGGCCGGAACTGGCGGGGCCTGGCCGGTGGTGCTGGCGGCCTCGTTGGCCTCTCGGGCTTCGAGCTGCTCCATCATCTGCCCAGCACACAGCACAGCACAGAGATGAGACCCACATGTGTGTTTGTGCAGACGGAGCTGTATGGTGTGGTACGTGGACGGTAACGTGTGTGTCGCAGACTCACCGCCCACATGCCCCGCGCCGCCGTTTCCAACTCGTCCATGGACAGGCCATCCCTCCACCTCTCGAACTCCTGCAGAGAAACACACACACAAAGCCACCGGTCCGGAACACACGCACCAAGCTCCATTGGTGTGGCGGTGCAAGTGCGCAAGGCGTGAGCTGCCTTGCATTGGCATGTCTGCCCTCCCCGCCCTTTCACTCACCTCAGGGTGCTCCATCTCCAGCCTATCAGCCTTCAGAGCCCACTGGTGCGTGTTGTCCCTACTCAGGTCGGGAAAAGCCTCCGCGGCAATGGCCATCTTCTAAACGACAGCAGCGACGCGATTCTCCACGCCAGCGGGGCTGCTCCTTTCTTCTTTTCGTGCGAGCTTAGAGCTCGCAATTTTCTCCTGGCCACAGGTCCTGAAGGGGCTGTCATGCCTTGTGGGGTGATGGCTTTATTGGCTTGGTTTGGGCTGGGTGTGAGCAGAAGTTTTGCATTGCAGAGCCATGGCAGCGGTGCACCATTCTCTGCAGACTCTGTGCACCGTTGTTCAGCACTGCCAGTCTGCAGCATCCATCAGATCTGTCAGTTCCCTCCCTCCCCTATGCACACCGACACTCAGACACTCAGACACTCAGACTGTCAGCCCGTTGGTGTCCTTCCGCTACATCCCTCCCGGCCCACACGTCTACTCCCGGCCCGGCCCGCTGCCTGACCTGTCAGCCGCCCGCACACCTGACTGCAATACGTAATGTACACACCTGTCTGTCTGTCTATCGGCCTGTCCCTCTCCCGTGCGGCTGCGGTGGGTGTCCTGGTGGGACCCCCCCGGGCCGCTGGGGATGCAGCGGGGGTCTGCAGGCAACGCCAGCCGGAGGAGAATGTAGCATGGGGGGTGGCGGGGGATGGTTTGGCGGCGATGGTCCGAATGGAGCTGCAGGCGGCCGGGAAGGGGGCGGATAGTGCACGTGTGGAGCCGCAGCACCGCCACCGTTGACTTGACGGGGGCCGCCATAGAGTGATGAGGGGCGGTGGGACGCCATCGTGGCGGCAGGAGGGCCAGGGGGATGGACCATCGGCAGCATTGACGTGCCATGGCCAGCGAAAGGGGGCGATGCAGCAGAGATGACAGACAAGGAACCGACCTGACAGTGCCAAGGACACGCAGATGTCATCATGCTGCTGCTAGGTCGTGTTGTGTCTCTTATCGGCTGTGCGCACCGCCGGAGCACTTGGCATAGCTATGCCGTCGAACAGCGACCCACGGGGAGCCGCTGCCGCCTCAGCAGAACCACCAGCGACCTGACCGACATACATACAGAGAACCGACACCTCTTGATGCTTGCTAGCACTGAACACATGTAGACATCAATACCTTCTGTAGGAAACGCATCGGATCCTTCTTCACCATTTGTGTCAGCAAACGCTTCGTCACCGCCTTGATACGCTCCCTCTCATGAGGCCGTCCCTGCGTCGCATCCGGGGACCCTCCCTCTCGGGACGTCTCTGAGTCCACCATTCCTCTCGTCTCGCCGCCGAGGGCTGGGTGGCCTCGCACTGAAGCAGCAGCTGCCGCTGGCTCGCCGGATGAGGGAAGAGGGGCTTCGTGGGCCGGGAGGAGGTGCATGGGATGGGCATTCGACGGGAGGGGCGACGACCGATTGCCCACGGCAGCCGATGGCGCCAATGGGGGTGCCATGTCGGAGAATGTCGCGTCAATGGGCGACATGATGGGGGCTGCAGGAGAACCCTCCACTGCCTGCACATTGACAGACGGACACACAGACAGATGTGCGTGTGGATCATCGGCTGTCTATTGCCCCGTGCCTCTGATGTGTATGCTGTGTACCTCCTGCCCGTCGGCAGAGAACGATGCACCGTCAGCTACGGGTGCTCCTGGAAACGCCAACATCTGCAATTGACCATCACACATACAAGGGGAGCGAAGGCATTGGTCCGAACATTCTTGTTCTTTCGTTCGGTATTTTGGTATGTACCGGGGCCGCTTGAGCACACGGCGGTGCAGCAACGTCGCCATCATCAGCACCGACACCAAAGCTGGAAGGCCCCCACTCCACCCCATACATGTCGCCCGCCAGCCAGTGCTGGTCGCCAACACCAACACCACCACTGAGCTGCCCCGCCCCCACAGCCGCTGATGCCTCGCTGGCGGCGTCCAGGCGATGGCTCGGGAAGGCCCATGGCGAGGCCACCTGCGTGTGGAAAGGGCAGATAGATGTGTGTGTGTCAAGTCCCCTCTCCTTTGTCTGTCTCTGGGAATGTCCACCTGCTGCTGGTCAGCCTCTGCCGCACCGTTGGTGATGGGAAACGGAAATGACATCTGCATGACCAACATAGCGGGAAGTGTCACATGTCTCCTGCCATGTGTGTGTTGCTGGTTTGTCTGCAAGGTACCGTGGGCATGTGCGCGTGTGAGGGCACGGCGTCGTCAACTGCTGGCGGAGCGAGCATCGAGTCATCCCAGCAACCACCACCACTAGGAGCATGAGCAGCGGCGGGTGCAGAGGGGGCGAGCGGGGCAGCGGATTCCTGCAGACACGTAAGCGCATCGACACACACACACACACACACACATGCATGACGTCTGTTGTGTGCCTCTGTGTGTGAAGTGTTATGTACCTGAGAAGCATCAGGTGGCTCGGCGAAGCCGGGGAATTCCTGAGGCAAGACCCACGGCGTGGCCAGGAAAACAGCGACATCCACGCTGTTGTGTCGCAGCAGCTCGAGCAGTTCCTGCAGCCCCTGCCTCATGTCGCTCAGTGTGCCCCGTGCCCGCCACGACTCGCTGAGCCCCCTGCGAGCCAGGCTGGCCAGCCGGCGCTCCATCAGCGGCAGCCATTCCCACCCCTTCCCACACTCGCAGTCCTCGACCGTCAGCACCGCCTCACCCCCAAGCTCCTTGCGTGGGCGGCCCTGGGCGTCGCACATCGTGTTCAGCGCCTCATCCCACCGCAGCAACATGTACTTGGAGAGGAAGAGGCGTCGTTGGTCCTCCGACAGGCCTGCCTTGCCATCCGGCCGCAGTCCGTCTGGCAGGCCCAGCGTCTGCAGTGCCTCGTCCTTCTCCTTGAGCTGTCGCTTCCACCACTGCCACGGCGACTCAGAATCGAGCAGCACCTCGAGGATCGATACTGCGATGTTGAACACTGCAATGGCCTCGGCCTCCAGCCACACGCCCTGCCCGTCATCCGCGTGGATGAGTGTTGCCTTCAACCCGTTGTGCCTGTCCGCCAGCTGCTGGACGGCCTCCGCGCTGCCGCCCGCCTCCTCGAGCACCCTCTTCAGGGTGCCCAGGGTGGCGCCAAGGACGGAGACCTCCGGAGACTCCTCGAACGCCTTGCCAGCTGGTGTGTTGTCATGGGCACCGGTGGGGCTGCGGGGCACAAAGACAGGCTTGCGGCCGTCTAGTGAGGGGGGAGGGGTGCGGGCCGAGGCGCTGGATGATGCCGAGTGGTTGGCGGTGCCGCCAGATGCGATCCGAAGCACATTGCCGACGTCGAGGAAGACGGCCACAGAGCGGGCCCCAGGCTCGGCTCTGGGCCTGTTGTAGACGATGCGGTCGAGGGTGGCCTTGCTGTAGCTCTGATGGGTACTGGCCTGGTCACACGGGCCGTACCCCATCTTGATGGCCTCCGCATAGGCGTCGACACTGAGAAGCTGGGCGGCCACGATGTGAGTACACCCGCGATACGCGGCGATGCGCTCCTGGGGCGTCCGCAGGTCCGACAGCCCGCCGGTGATTTGGGGCAGGTTGAAGACGTAATGATGCTTCTCGATGGGGTAGAATGATTCGTCTGCTTTGATAAATGCATGGCAAGTTGCACACACACAGATGGATGCATGCTCTGGCGTCTGGCTTGGTCTGCTTACCGAGATATTCCATCGCCACGATGCAGCACTCCTGGCTGGCGCCATTGACCTCCAATCGTCCGTGCAGCACCTTGGTGCAAAACGACCGCAGGAACGGCACGCCCGACCAATCGCCGCCATACCTGCTGTCGACCTTGCCCCGGATCTCATTGTAGCGCGTCACCTCTCGCTTGGCCTCCCTCTCCCTGCTGCCGCCCGTGAACACCTTGAATGCTATTGCCGACAGGCCGACATCTCCTTGGGCATCTCCTTGGGCATCTGCTTGGCCTTCTGCGCCTCTCCATATGGCAGCAACTGCCCCTGCATTGACATATGTCACTGCAACGCGGCTCGGGCACTGAAGCGACGGTCGGCCCGGAACACTGACGACTCCATCGCTGTCCAGGAATAGGATGCCTCGCTGCGGCGGCGCATTGGTGGCATCTGTGGCTGCCGCTGCTGCCATAGAACCTCCAAAAACGAATCACCTCCAAAAAGGAGTCGATCTGCGAGCTAGAACGCGTGAGAACCGCGGAGATCTTTGGAGTTTTCGCTCCCCGTCGAGCCCCGTCTCGTCTGTGGCCAGCGCTGCGCCGCTATGTCCTCTTCTCCGCCCTCTTCTCCGCCAGGGCCACCGCCACCCTCTGGTGCTGCTCCACAGCGTCCCCCTCTGACGGCAGGAGTGCAGCGGGCAGGGGTACCGACTTCGCCTCACCCATCGCCTCCATCAGTGCCGGCACCGTCACCCCCGTCAGCGACACTCGCATCGACGCAACTCGCCGGCACCACGGCAGGCGCATCCTCGGGGTCGCCTTCCTCGAGGCCCGCGGCAGGCAGCACACCGACGCAGGCCACTGGCACGGTGACGGCCAACGCTGCCGGCTACTGGGCCAGCATAGCACCTGCAGCCACACTTCCCGGCGTCCAGTCTGTCAAGTTCAAGCAAGCCCTCGTGTACTTCCGCCGATCCAAGATACGCGTCAAAGCCCGTGTTGTGTCGACGTCTGTCACGATCATCGGCACGTGTGGTGTGGATGGTGCGTCCATGCTCGGGTCAGCGTCGACGGGCGTCCAGAAGATGTCCGACGGAACGCGGGGCACCCCCGTGGTGCTGGAGCTCCTCACTCACCGACCACTCAAAATCCACCTCTGCTACCCGCGCCACCACCCCAAGTACGAGCCCTACGGCACCGATCTCGCCTTCGTGGCCAAGCGGGCGGGCAAGGAATGGCAGGCACACTTCGCGGTGCCTGACGACTACTTTGGTGCCGGCAAGACAGCCTTCGTGAAGCTGTATGTCGAGTTTGATGCTGCTCTCGACCTCAAGCTCATGGGGTGAGCGAGAGGGTGATGGGGAGGGAGGGATGGAGGGAGGGATGCACTAGACGGGAAGATTTGTGCGTACATGTGTGTGTGCGTGCGTGTGTGTGTGTGTGTTGTGTCCCACTCATGTAGGTTTCCTCATGGCGTTGGCCCTAACGGCAGTGGAATGGTTGGCGTGGTCTTTGACTTCAACGACCCCAACCAGTGGCCCTTCCGCTTCCAGCGAGACTTCCACTGTTCGCATGCCATGCCTGTCGAGTATGTGACGCCATCCAGTACCATCACCACAGCGCACCACGGGATGGTGGTGAACGAGGAGAAGGACACGTGGCAGTGGAGGCCAGCGCCGGGCCTGATCTCGCCATCTCGCTTCGTGCTCGGCGTCCACAGCGGCAGGGCGACGGACACAGTCACGATCGCGACATACAGCGTGACCGAGGCGAGCGGGATCGTCGACCTCTGGTCCAAGAATTTCCTGCTCAATCCGCCCGCCTTTGACCCCAGTCACGTGCTGTCGGGCAGGATCGCGATAGAGGGCACGTTCGACGTCGACGTCTCGCTGTCCAAGCACACATCCACGCTCAAGCACATCGACATGGGCGACGTGGAGACGCCGGGCGACGCGGAGACGCCGGGCGACGTGGAGACGCCGAGCGACGTGAAGACGCCGGGATACGCCCTCTACGTGTGGCACCCCGATCAGCAGATGCCGGAGCCGGCAGTGCCCCTGAGCGCCTTCGCCTCGCCTATCTGCAGCGCCATCGACATCGACAACAGCGTCCTGCGCGGCGTCCAAGGCCTGGCGGTCGCTGGCGGCAAGACGAATACAAGTTCAAGCTCGAGACCAACAAAAGCGCTGCAGACATCGGGTGAGCACACCTACCCACCCTCTCCCACCCACCCACACCCACACATGCACTGATTCTCTCACTGATGTGTTGTGTCAGGTGGGTGGAGGAGGGCAACCAGACCTTCATCCTGCACAAGAGCTACGACAAGATCGGGTGCTTCAACATGCCCGTGGCCGACCTCTTGCAGGAGCCTCGTGACCCGACCCCGCCCTGGGGCAGCAGGGTGACCAACATCGAGACCTATGAGCTCACGGTGAACGGGGCTGAGACTCTCCGCGCCTACCGCCCATCCGCCGCCCTCTTGGGCCCCACACCCACCGCCCTCGGCCCCATCGGCAACGTCTCGAGGAACTCGTTGACGGCAAAGCCCTCGTGGACCTACCCCGTCAAGGAGTTCCTCGCGACGCCGTTCGAGCAGATCATCGACATCGAGCTGAAGGAGGATACGACGCAAGACGCGGCCGGGGCGGCAATGCCACCCATGAAATCGTCGGTCGCGGTACGGTTCGAGGACGAGGCGAACACGGCCAGGGCGATCGGCGTGTCACCGTCGGTGCCGGTGCCCACCATCGACGATGCCGACGGCCCCAGCAGCAGCAACAGCAAGTGAACTCACATGCGAGGGGGCAGGAGGGAGAGGTGCCGGGGATGGATGAGTGGGTGGGTGGGGCTGTGTGGCGTCTGGCTTACCCCGTGTCTGCATGTGAGTGTTGTGGTGTGATGCATGTGTGTATGCGTGTGTGAATCGTTTGCTGCGTCTTCGGACAGGCAGCGGACGAAACGCACACCGACACGCATCATGGCTCAGCGCTTCAAAGCACTCAGGGTGGCTCGGATGCGTTGTCCGTCTAGATGTAGGTGTGGCCAAGGTTTTGATTTTATCTGTGTCAGCCGCCATGTGCTTGCTCTCTCTCTCCCATCCGTCACACCACATCCATGCGCTTACGTGTTTGATGAGAGCAGAAGGGGTCGGTGGGTCGGTGGATGGATGCTGGCAGTCAGTGTCGCTCGTTCGGCCGAGCTTAAGGGTCGGCCTGTTGCCCTCTCTCTCCCTCCCCCTCTCCCTCTCCCTCTCCCTCTCTCTGTCTCGATGGCTGGCTGGCTCTCATTCCTGTCAATGCATTCGTGTGGAATGCATCGGGTGTGTACCTACCCATCCATTTCATGCCGCCTGCGTACCTTCGTCTGTTGATATCTAAGTAGGTGCATTTCCCGCTCATACACACACACATACGTGATTGTGCTGGAGGGCGGTGGGCACACTCACTCACCAGCTCTCACGTTTGATCAGTGGTGGTTTTGATGGCTCTCGGCGGTGGGTGTTTTGTTGACGTGACTGACCGGGAGGGGGACAAATTCAACTTCTGTGTGCTGGTGCGATAAATGCGACCGTCGTGGGACGAGACGGCTTTGCTGCAGGTGTGGGAGGGCATTGGTGCAGCAGATAGGGCTTCCGTGAGGCAGACTGTGTGTCCGTGCCTTCGCTGCTTGGTAAGTGATGGGCCGAAATGCGTTTTCTTCCTTCTAGGCCTCTGCATCCATGACGTAGGGCGTTACTCCTGTCTGTGTGGTGTGCTGGGCGGGTACGTATTTGCATCTTACGGACACATTGACATCATCGGCTCTGCGTGTCCGTGTAGACACCTGCTAGATAGCATCCCACAATGGACGGACACACCACATCCATGCGCTTACGTGTTTGATGAGAGCAGAAGGGGTCGGTGGGTCGGTGGATGGATGCTGGCAGTCAGTGTCGCTCGTTCGGCCGAGCTTACGGGTCGGCCTGTTGCCCTCTGTCTGTCTGTCTGTCTGTCTGTCTCACCGGAGGTTCATGTTCTGGAAGTGTATGTGACCACCTCTCCGTGTATGTATTACATCTGGACTCTCCATAGTATTCCATCCGTTTCATGTTCATGCTCGCCTGCGTACATTTGTGGTGCATTGCGCACTCGTACTTACACATGATGTGTCTGTAGGTGAACGTCTTTGTCAGGAGGGCACCCGCCCACGGTTTGGTAGTTTTCTATGGCTCTTGACGCGCTGTGTGGCTTGGCAATGCTATCATGCTAGGTGATTCATGGATGACCGATGTGTCGGCGGTGGACGTTTTGTCGCCATGACTGGGTGGTGCTTTTTCGCGGTGGGTGGCTGCTGGTGCGTGGATGGGTGCAATGCTCTTCGATCCCTTATGGATAGTATTGCATCCATCTATCTCTCCATTGCCGTGTCGGAGTGACTGAGTGGGAGAGAGATGTGGGCCGTCAGACGAGACAACCTTGCTGCAGGTGTGGGTGGCCTTGCGCAGGCTGAGCTTTCGTTTTTTTTTTTGTTATGTGATGGCCGAAATGCGTTTTTCTTCTAGGCCTCTACGCACATCTATGCCTTTCTTCCTATGCCTCTCTACACACATCATGGCGTAGGACGTACTCCTGTGTGGTGTGTTGTGGTGTGGTGTGTCTGTGTGATGGCCAGGTGGGTGCGGCGGGTATGTATTTGCATCCCACAGACACACGCAGACATCCGACATTGGGCGTCTGCTTGTCGCCCTTTTTAAGTGGACATCCGACATGGGTGATTTTGCCGCATCCATCCTTCATCCATGTATGCCTTCCCTCTCCTGTCTGGCTCGCTGGCGTCTTGTGCGTGTGTGTGTCGTTGCAATCAATCGATGTGACGCGACGGTGGATGGATGCAATGCATGTGACTGACAGGTTTCCAACAGACATACATACACAATAAGCATTCAATCTGCACGGTCATGAAACGAGTCTCGACAAGTCAAGAGTCGCATGTGCAGGACATGCCGTGTCGATGAGATACACACCCACGCGCAAAGGCAGCCAGCCAGAGCAAGCAGACAAGGATATACGTCTTAGCGTCACAGAGCTATCTGTACAGACGGAAAAGACCATCAGACGAGAGGCAAGGAGAGCTAGCTAAACCACCCGCAGATGTCTGTGCTCGTCCCCCGCCGCCCACTGCCTGCCCAGCCCCTCCCTCGCAGAGCCCTCCCACTGGTCAACCACGGACACGTCCACGCCCTGGCGGTAGAATGTACCGCCAAGCAGCGATGTGACTCGCAGCGGGAAGACGTAATCCCGCGGGATTTGTTGGATGGGGTCAAGATGAGCGTATTCTAAAAAGAGGGACCGCCCGGTGGTCTGCAGGGAGGTGTCGAACAGGGCAAAGGCCAGACCAAACAGCACGCCTGGCTGATTCGACCTGCATGGGAGCGAGAAGAGGCAGAGGGACGGTCAGTCAGACGTGTTGGTTTGTGTCTGCCTTACTGACCGAGTGCGGAAGCCCATGTCCACCATGATGGTTGCGATCTCATCGACTAGGCCTTCCATCGCACCCCTCCGGCCACGCAGCCCCCTCTTGGCCACCATCCTCTCGCCGCCGTCCTCGCAGGTGGCGTCCATGTCCCTTGGCTTCGCTGTGAATGGCTTCCACGAGCTGGCCGACGTTCTTCTGGGGGACACGTTGCTGCACAGCTGGGGTGAGGGCGATGGGGGCAGAGGGGCGGTAGACGGCGGTGTGAGAGGCGACGGGGGCTTAGAAGCGATGATGCCGGTCCGCATGACGGTGTCGAGAAGATCACGAAAACGAACACCAGCGAGACGTAAGCCAGCGGAGAACCTGACATAGTGCAGAGACACATGTATGCGTGAGGTCTGGGGGACTGTGTGCGTCATTGGTCTTCGATTACTTTGCGAGTGCGCCATAGAGCCGGCACAGCTGATGTCTGACGGATGTCGGCAGGATCTCCGTGGCCCCCCAATCTAGCAGATGGACCACCAACGAATGGCCAGGACCGCCCTGCACGCGCATGTTCCCCGGATGTGGATCGCCTGACCACCACAGAAGCCATTGACATGGATCCACGCATTCCCTATCACATTCGCACCTTGGAAGAGGCCATCCTCCAGCATGAGTGACCCCCACACGGCACTCGCCCCTTGCAACAGCCGTTTCTGAGCAGACAGGCTTAAGTTGTTGGCCTCCAGAAAGCTCTCAAGTGATGTGCCGTTGACGAACTCCATAGCCATGACGGATGGAGACGAAAGGTGGGAAAAGACCTCAGGCACGCTGAAGGACACGTCGACGGACTCATCAAAGGCCAGATCAGCCGTGGAGATGCCAGCGGCCGACGCCCTCGCCATGCCCTTGATGCCCTCCAGCTGATGACGTTGTCTCCTCGACGCAGCCTCCACCAGCGGCCGGGCGATGGATGTGAGGGCCGCCTCCCTCTCCAAATCGAACTCCGCCAAAAGGGACCGCTTGAGCTCCTTGACACACGGCCATGCGTCCTTAAGCTCTGGGAGAACGCCCTTGTCGGCCAGGTGGGCCAGCAGGTCGAAGTCCGAGTGCATCTGAGCCCGTGTGTGGGGGAAGCTGATCTTGACAGCAAGGGTGGGAGGGAGGGAGGAAGGAGCATCCGGCCGCCTGGTGGCTCGGTGGACCTGGGCGATGGACCCTGAGGAAGATAAATACAGTCTTTGTCCGTTTGCAGACTCGCCTTCTCCCATTCTTTCTGCCCTCCTGACCGGCTGCGAGTTCGGGCGCCTCGATGTCGTAGTGTGCGTCGAGGAGCGGGGCCTCCCTGCTGACGATCCTCCGCACCTGCCGCACATCCCTGGCCCTGCACCTCTCCTGCGCACGTGACAGCTCCGCCAATAAGTCTGGCGACTCAATGACGTCAGGACGCTGACTCAGACCCTGAGCCACCTTCGGCCACAGGCCGCCCAGACGGGTGAACAGATCTGCCAACAATGCAGCGCGGACCTTGGAGGCAGTCTTGGCGTCGGTGAATCGCTCGACGGCGCGAGCACGGAGAGCGAATAGCGCGACTTCAGACAGCACTGTGAGGGCCCGCTTGGCCCGCTGGATGGACGTGCGAAGAGGGTGAGGGCCGCGGGGATGCGGACTGACGACTGCGAACTCTGTCGATGTCAGCAGGGTTGCGAGCGCGTTGAAGAGATCCGCCAAAGGCTCCTGAGCGGTGCTGGTCTGAACGAGCTCATTGGAAAGAAGCGCCTGGGTCTTGCGCGTCACGTTGGAGATGACAGTGGCCCACCTGCACACATGAATCAAATCACAAGACAACAGCCGATGACTTGCTATGTGTGTTTGCTCATGCATTTTGCTGACCAAGGAGCCGATGCCATCGCTGCTCCTGTCGTCCCCGGGCTTGGTGCACGCAGATCATTGCGCCGCACAGCCGGCTGATCTTTCGCGTTGCAGGCCACGGGGATGCAGGCGATGAGCAGCAAGACAGCCGTCCTTTGTCTGCTCTCGTCGCTGAGCGATGATACACCCATAATGCTTTCTTGCAATCGCTGGTTTCGCTTAGCTCGCAGCCGATCTGCGAGCTTTCGTTTCGGGCGGAAAGAGAGGCATGGGAGAACGCGCTGTGCTGTGAGGCACCTTGATGCAGCGAAACCAGCCATCAAATTCAGTTGTAGCGGTCAGTTTTCTCTTGGTGCCTTTCGCCTCGGCTGGTGCCGCCAGCCCCTGCCGAGGGCTATTGACGGCATCGGACAGGTACGGCTGGACGAGGGAGGAAGGCCAATGCTCAAAATTGACGATTCATTCATCGACTTCTACAGGCGCCTCTGTGGTTGGCGTGGTGACATTCACGAGTCGACATGGCCTCTCGGACGGATCCGCGGGCCCATCTGGCTCAGCGCATCGCGGCGCGTGGGTTAGAGATGCCGGACGTGTACGGCGACACGCCGGATTTGGTGTGTTGGAAGCTGAAGGCGCTGATGCACCAGGAGCCCGAGGTGAGGGGCAGGCAGGGATACACACAGACTGCATGTGGCCGGGCAGCGAGATGCATGGTGTGTGTCCATCCGTTTGTTCGGTGCAGTTGCTGCGTGAGTGGCTCGTGGCGCTTCGGGGCACCCAGGAGATGCGTGACACCGAGGCTGTCATCAAACGCCAAGATCCGACCTTCCTGGTACACATCACACCACTGCACAGCACCCACCCAGCCAGCCGTCTGTCATGTGTGTGGTGTGTCGTATCTACCTTTCCCCTGTCTGCTGTGGTGCTGCAGGATACCCTACTGTGGGAATGGTTTCCTCAGCGTGTGCAGCATGAGGCGGTCCAGCTGGTCGTCGACCTGTTCCAGCATGTGCCCCCACAGATGCTGGACGACTTCGCCCCGCTGTACTCGCCGTTTTCCCTCTGCCAGGAACCCGAAATCCCCCTGCGACAGGGGCCGTGCATCGAGAGCGTGACGAGGGAGGTGAGTCCTGCCGACAGTGAGTGGTGTGGACAGACGACTCATTTGCTGCTCTCCCTCGTTTTCGTTCCTCTCCTCAGGACTCGCCTGTGCCGGCTGCTGTCGTAGCGGTTTTGAAGCAACACATGCAGGACCTCCATCGCAAGGTAAAGCACTAGTTCAGTGTGTCACAGACTGCTTGACATGTGCTGCTCGTCTGTTGGGCTGTGTCAGGTTGAGAGTGTGTCTGAGCTCAAGAGTGAGTTAGCGAATTCGCCACAGACAGACAACGACGGCCTCAAACAGGTGAGGAGGCCACCCATTACGCTACGGAGCACACGTCCACACATCTGGTGTTGGCTGTGCTGTCAGCATGTCTGCGGTCAGTTTGCGGCACTTAGCAACATAGTCACCAAGATCGCTGACGACGTCCGGCACCAGCGGAACACTAGCTCCCTCGCCGACCTCGCACACGCCAAATGCGACATGATAGCTGCTACCATACGGCAACCGGTACACCGACTCGCGGAGCAGACACTCACTACATGCGCCCGCTTCATGCAGACACATCTCTTGTGTGTGTGTGTTTGTCTGTGCAGTCGTCGTACGTTTGCCCTCTCCTCATCCGTCTGGCCGAGCTGTCCGTCACCAGCCACATCGCCCCCCACCTCGGCACACAGGCCATCGTCGGCAGCCTCTCCCGCACCCACACATCTCTCCACGCCCTCTCCCACAGCCCCGCCATGCACACCAACATGGACCTGCAGAGGGGCCGCAGCGACCAGACCAAGCTGACCGGGCAGCAGGTGGCTGCGTGGGGCCCGGCATTCAGCAGGACCACTCGGGCCCGCCTGGACTGCAACCCCAGCACGAGGGTGTTCCAGCTGCTGGAGCACGCAAGCAACACACTGCAGGAGCTCCACGCGCATCAGTCCCATCGCAGTGTGCACATCGAGGACGACTGCGAGGGATGGGATTTCGGCAGGGACCACATCGGACCACTCGACGAGCGGCTCCTCTTCTTCGGCGAGCGGATCTTCCCGACGCCAGAAGAGTCGGAAGCGGTCGTCTTTCCGAAGCTCAAGCGGGCTGAGGTGGACCGACACTGGAGAACGGTCAACACGACCAAGCAGGACGTTACCCGCGGACCATGGCGAAAGCTGCGACGGTGGAAGATGACGTAAGCATGAGCGATTTGGCGACAGAGGGGCCCTATGCATTCTCTGTCTGTTTTGTGTCCTGCCGCTGCTTCTCAGGTCTCTGGTTGAGCTCCACGTCCACGACACAGCGCCGAGCTCATCGGGAACGATCTCTGCGGCCACTCGTCCGACCTTTTGGTCAGACCTCTTACAGCCAACACTCAAGTGAGCAGCAAGACTGGCTGGCTGGGTGGCTCGCATGACATCACCAAACCCGGGCTCTGTGTGTTCAGGCGAATCACCGGAGTCAGGTTTCGCGGGGGAGTTGAGAGATTTTCGCCGCTGGAGGGTGCGCAGGTGGAGGAGCTCGGCGTGACATTGACTGAGCAGCTGATCAGTGATGACCTGTTTGAGGTGAGGGACCTGATGAGCGAGCACATGTACATGTGGAATGGAATACTTAGTGTCACGTCTGTGTCCGCTGCTGTTGTGTGTCAGAGCGTGGACCTATTTCGCGACAAGTCCATGGCCCCCAATGGGAAGGTTACCTTCGACGTCACGCCGAGCGTCGTCTTCCACACCATGGACAACTTGAGCCGCATGGAGAGCCACCCCTCCTGGGCTGACGCCGTCATCGAGATCGCCCGTGACGTCAAGATTGTCGCCCTTCCTTCGGGGCTGACTCAAGGCCAGACCGTCTCATCTGCCAGGCTGTCGTGTCTGCGTCGACTGTCGTTTCCACATGCCACCACTCTAGAGCTGACGGGCTGCGGGGACGCCTCTGAGCCGCTGCCCGACGTTTTTCTAGAACACATATCCCATCGCCACTTCCCTCGCATCACCACACTCCTCCTGGGCTGGACAGAGAGGGTGAGAGAGGAGCCAGTCAGCAAGGCCGTAGACCTGCCGTCGCTCAGAGAGGTGCGTTTTGGGAGGGAGGGATCGCCGCCCGGGCGGTTCTTTTTCCCGCTGTGCCTGAGAAACTGCCAGAAGGGGCTCCCGCTTGTCCATGTAGAGGGCATCTACCGTGCGGGTGGTGCTGGTGCATGGTCGCTGTGGGAGGGCGGAGGTGAGGGCAGTGGGGACGGGCATCAGCGAGTAGAGAAGCGCATACGCAAGATCACTCTCAACGTCGAGCGCCAGCCAGAGGGGTCATGGGTACATGAGGAAGGGCAGCCAGAGAGCAGCACAGTTTTGTCGGGCATCTTGCCGGCCTGTCTGCGGGCCATCGACAAGTGCCCATTCCTCAAGTGCATTGTGATCGAGCACGGACGTGTTGTCAAGAGGGATGATGGGGTTGGTATCTTTCTCATTCGCCGCCGCCCCATTTCACTCGTCACTGAGGCAGACGGGGAGGAGCTGCAGTCACGCGGCTTCGTGGCAGTGAGGACGTGCTTTGCCTGGAAGCTGTGCCACGTGCGTGACTGTGTCTTGCATCGAAGGTCGGAGGTGTCTGTGTGTGCCGTGAGGATGCCTCGCACTGCTGTGGACGACAGTGTGTCTCTGAACGAGGCCCTGCTGTCCCATGCGGGCTTGCGAGTGCATCCATTCGCGGCCCGGTGCCTCGAGCCAGAGATGCGGGACAAGTTGACACGGAAGTGTGTCAGCTACACGGATGACCTCAGACGGGAAGCGAAGCGCAACAAAGACAGGCGGGGATGAGTGGATGAATGAGAGACGGATGGATGGATGTATGGATGGACGGATGGATGGATGGTGTGTTTCCGCGGTATGGATGAGTGGTGGCTGTTTGTCGCTTTTCCTCTGTTTTAGTGTGGCTAGATGGTGCTCATGAAGAGAAAGACGACACAAACGACTCCTTTGTACATTCTGGAATGATGTGTTACCGATCGGCTGAGAAGGAGCACGGTAAGCATAAGGCCTTCATCTAGACAGGCAGTCACGCATCACATTTGTGTCGTCTGCCATGCCATGCCATGCCATGCCATGCCATGCACCGAAAAACCATCCCATCTCTCACTCACAAGCATGCATGTGTCTGTCTCTAGCTACGGCTGTCTCTTCATTTGGCAATGATACAGAAAAGTCGGCAGGGGGGGCGGTCCTCGATGAAGGCCGCGGTGGTGCAGCCAGGAATGAAACTCGTGCTTCCTTTGTACACAAGACAGACACACACCCCACCACACACCACCCAACACATCAGGATCGACAAAAACTCCGCTCGAAGGGAGAAGAGAAGATGCTATCAGTGGTGGGTGAGTCAGCGATTGGCCGCCCCTCCCCTCGCTCTCGCTCTCTCTCGTGCGCACACACGGTGTCCATGGACAGGTCAAAAATGTGTGTGGTGTGGTTCACTGCATCTTGTTCTTGATCTGCGCCAGCTCGGCCTCCACCTCGGGGCTGGCGAACTTGAGCTGCACATACATAACATACACACAACATGGGCCCGCCTGTGTGTCAGTGTGGTGATTGCTGGGAACCTGTGCGGGTTCCTTTGATGTTTTGCCCATGGATGCCTTGAGTTTCTGCAGCTCAGCGTCCACACCCGAGCCCTCCTCCAGAGACTTGAACTTGTCCTCAACACTGACCACACACACAGGACAGCCATGGGCGATGTGATGGTGCAGCACGTCATGGCTATGGGTGCGCGCGTCCGTACGTTCCGGATGAGAGTGACATTTGTCGTGACACCTCTGCTTTCGACTCGAGGGTCTCGACCTTCTCCTGCATCCGCTCAAACGCATCCATGCTGCACACATACACGAGCAGCAAGCAACACGTCAAGACGAGAATATGGTGGCTATTTGCTCAATCCATCCCCGCGTGTCGTACCTACCTTGTTTTGCCGAGTCCCATGCCCGAGAGCATGTCAGTGACTTGCTGGGCCGTCTTGGCCGTGCGGGCGCGGGCTATCAACTGATCCTTCTTCGACTGATGGTGGATGGGCGCGAACACAAGACAAGGAACCATCGAATACACGCGGCGAGACCGTCTCTTTCTGCGAATGGCATGTGTGTACCCGTGCTTCATTGATCTTCATTTCCAGAGTCCTCATGGAGGCCTGCAGCTGCTCCAAAGCTTCGCCTTGCAGCTGATACACACATACAAACAAAGGCACACACATCATGACCTGCGTCCATGCCCCCCATTCGATCTCGGTTTGCCTACCCTCATTTGCTCCTCGAGTGTCTTGACTTGGTCAGACAGAGTCACCTTCCGCTGCAACGCCTCGCGAGCGAGATCCTCCTCACCCTACCGCACACAAATGCGGGAATGCACTACGTGCGGTCACCTGGTCGGTGTGGTGGTTCCCTCACCTTCTCGACAGCCAGCTGTGCTCGTCGCATCCACTCGGCTGCCTGGTCCGCCGCAGCCTGCATTTGCAAAGCCACACACGCAGCTCATCAATGGCTGAGATTCCACGTGTCTGTCTTTGGCTCCTACGTTTCTCTGTCGCTCGACTCGCTTCTGTGTTGCAGTGATCTCGGCGTACGACTGTCGCACCTTACGCAAATCCTCGTTCATGTCTGCATGAGGTCAGACACGCCAACGGTCGGCTGATGCTCTGTGTTCTTCTATCTGCTTGGTGTTGTGGAAGCTGACTGGCTCACCAATGACGGCTTGTTCGAGGACTTTCTCAGGGTCCTCGAATTTGGAGATGACCGCACCGACATTCGACTTGACCACACGAAAGAACCTGAACACACGCACCGCACCGCACAGGCAATGCAAGTGAGGCCAGGACGTCAGAGCCGCCTTGATTGTGCAGTTTGCCGCTACCTGTCCACAAGGTTGTCAGCCATCATGGTGACTTGAGTAGACCGCAACCTCGGCCTGAGCATGACGCGTGAAATACACACGGAGATGAAGGCTCTGCACATTGCTGGTGTTTGGAAAGGTGCATACGCACCTTATTGGTTGTGCCGTCTGCAGCACAAAGGTTGGCTGGGGGACGAAAGCGACAGTGCTGACCACCAGGGACATCACGCCTGCAACGACACACATGCCAACCAGATGCAGCGGTGAGCGGATCTCTCGCGTGCATTCCGCTCCCGCATCTGCGTGCAGTGAGCGCCCCTCCTCACCTCCAAGGAGAGCCGGCAGCTGCATCAAGACTCAGTTGAATCGATAGATGAGCGAAGGAACGCAGTGATCTTTGTTTTTGCGATGCTGGGGAAGGACAGCCGCCGCCTTTTTTCCCTTGTCTTTGCCGAAAGCAACGCGAGCTAAGCGGCGAGTCAGTGCGCGCTTTCCAAGATCTGCGCAGAGGGATCTGTCTATTTGCTGATGATGGTGCTTCGTCGCTGCTTGACATAGGCAGATCACGTGCTTCACTCATCAGTTGGCGCCAGCATGGCAATGATAGAGATGAGCTCGGCCATGCATCTGCTGCCCCTATCTCTCATGCTGTCGGCCACCGCAGCCTTTCTCGTCCCCTCACCTCCCTTTCAGTCGCCACTGCGGAGGCACCATGCACGAGATCCCTCACCGCTTTCGTCTGAGTCGGCTCAGCTGAGGCCATCATTTCTCAGACCAGATGTGGGCGGAAGGGGGCAGCTGACGCGTCGGTATCTTGCGCCAGCAAAGCTTGAGGGCGGCAAGGCACTCGTTACAGGTGAGAAGCAGAGATGAGATGGCTCACTTGCGCCATGGATGCAGGGCACTCATGGCGCTCTGACTGTGCGATTGTGTAGGTTTGGATGCGACGATGGAGAGGACTGATCAGCGGCCGCTGGATGCCTTGCACGAGCAGCGCATGTGGCAGCCCATCGCCATGCTGCTGCCGCCTGAGATCAAAACCGCTGCCAGGAAATACCTCACATCAAGGTCAGAACACACCACAGTGGCACAAAACGGAATGGACACGAGCTGTCTGTTCTGTGTGTCCAGGGTAGCTCGGTACAGCGGGTTGCTGAGTGTGTTGACTTATGAGGAGGGTGACCCCACCAACTTGGCACAGATTAAACAAAACCTGCAGGGTGAGTGACTTGCTGACCTCACAAACGGGGCGTAATCGGTCGATCTGGCTCGTTCATGTCGTTCAGATGTGACAGTGTGGCTTGCTCTCAATCCGCCCATCAGCCAGCTCAATGACTACCTCCTGGTATGAGTACAGATGTACGCACATGAGCGAATTCACGTGATGAACCTACAGCCCCGCCTGTGTGTCAGGCTGCAAAGGGAGCTGGGGTGCAGAGGGTCGTGCTTGCACTTGGGGTGAGATCGCAACACACGCCGGGTTTTGTGCAATGCTTTACATGGCTGTCTATTTTCGATTGTGGTCCAGAACATCGAGGGCGGTGCATCCGACTGGCGGTCCATCGAATCAGCCATGGCGAGCGCCCTCAAGGAGGCCAACTCGACCGAGTTTAAGGCGTCTATTCTCGTCGCCGGCAAACTGGTGAGCCAACGAGACGCGTTGGTAAGAGGAGATGTCCATGTGTGGATGATGTGTGTGCGGTCAGAGTGACGGTGAGGATGAGGGCCTCGGTGCTCCGATACGGCTGACCAAATGCACCGATGAGGACACACTCAGAACCACCGCTGCGCTAGGGGTACGCAGACAAAGAGGAGACTGATGAAAAGGCGGCATCCATGAGTGCATTTCGCCGGCTGTTTCTGTTGTAGGTCGGTATGGGTGAGTTTATTCGCGTGGCCGCCGAGGCCCTGCTCATCCCCGCGGCCCACGGGACTGCCACATGGTGAGCACATAGACAAATGGCTCCATGGGAGACTTTTGTCACCTTGGCTGGTGGCTGTCTGTGGTTCCTCTAGTCTGTCTGTTGGCAACGAGATCGCGGACAGTTACCTGAGGTCACTGCGTCAGAAGGGCCTGTCTCGAAGAGACGAACTGGGAGAACTGTTCGCGGGAGGTAGGTACATGCAGCACACGCACCCACACAGGGGCGTCGGTCCATCCGTCTGTGTGTGTCCATGTGTAGGGTTTGAGGTCTACGAAAAGGATTACTTGGCTCAGAAGGAGAAGGAGGCCGAGCGGCAGAAGAGGCTGGAGCAGGAGGAAGAGCAAACCGCTTCAAAGGAACAAAGGGAAAAGGAAATCAAGTCAGTAAAGAAGCCACAACGCTCCCATACGCGCCCCGTCGTCGCACTCCACTCAATCACACGTATGCGTGTGTGGTGTCCTCAGGGAGCTGTTTGAGAAGGCCGCCAAGCAGAAGGAGGAGCTCGCAAAGAAGAAGGTGCCTACAAAGACATCAGCACGTGTGTGTTATCCAGCTCGTGTGCCGTTGTGTTGTGTTGTGTTGTGTTGTGTTGTAGGAGGAGGACAAGTGTCGTGAGATTTTGGCCCGCGAGTGGCGTGAGCGCTACTACGCGGGGCAGGAGACCATCACAGAAGAAGAATACATCAAGGTATTTATGTGTGCAGCGCACACAGACCCTGAACCATGGACGTATCGTGTCGCTGTGTCGATCAGGTCAACTGGGAGCGTGGGATAGACGAGGCGCGCAAAGCGCTGGGCAAGGGCAAGACGCCGGTCGCACAACCCTAGAGACGAACGAGAGAAGGGGCTGGCTCATGGCTGCATGGACTGTGTGTCTCGTGTGTGTGTTTGAATGAGTGTATCATACAAGAGTGGTGCTCGTGGAATCGGTGATACTCTGTTTGTGTGCTCGCGGAGCACGCGCAGACCATGTGTGGATGCATCCAGTCCTTCCCATTCATGCATGCATCAGTCAGTCCAGCAAGCTCACGCACGGTTGACGTCACGACTGGAACCTGCTCATGAGTTTGATGCCGTGTGTGTGCAGTGTGGTACTCAGCACGTCCTCTGTAATCACCTCGAGCTGCTGCTTGTCAAGACCCATCATGCGACACAGGTCCTCGACGGGCTCATGGAGTGAGTGGCACGCCATGCTCATGGAACCGTGCAGACAGCCGGCCGCCAGCAGGGGGAAGGGGTGGCGCTCAAACAGCTCCTCACTCTCGTGCATCTGTTGTGTAAGATAAAATACATGGACACAACGAATGAGGTGAACGTAAGAGAACAGATGTTGCACGTTTTACCAAGTCTGAGAGGGACATGGCCGTCGCCCGAATGAGCTGCCACGCAAATTAACAAGGAGGAAGACATGTATGGATGACGAGCATGTCTAGCACCTTGAGTTCGTCATTGGTGTCTTCTTTGATGCTGGCGAAAAGAGCGGTGCTCATGAGGTCGAGGTAGGTGGAGAGGATGACGTTGTCGTGCAGAAGATCGACTCCTGTCGTGCTCATGATCTCCCTCTCCGCACACAACACATCACTCACGCCAACCTGAGACACACACACGACGGGAGGGAGACATGTGACGTCTGTGTGTGTGTGTTGGTTATAGCTACCTTTGTGTGTTTGCTGATGTTGTTGACTATGGCTTCGCGCGTGTGCCACTTGTAGGCGAGTGAGATGGCGGCCAGGCAGTGGATTTCGAGGGCCCCACTTGTGCGCGGCATCTCTTGGCGGGCGGCCACGCCCTGCTTCAGCACGAGATAGGCTGAGTACCGCACGGCGTCACTCACACCCAGCGCCCAACACGTCTCAAACAGAAAGGATGTCCTGAGCACACAGCATGAAATGAAAGATAGCCGGGGAGACACACGCGCATTGTCCGTTGGTATTACGTGCCCAGGGGAAGCCGATTCTCTTCCTTGAAGATCGACAGACGCTTCTTTTCGAACTTCTGTGCCGTGTTAGAGTGCATGTCGATGAGCTGTGCGATGGACAGGTCGCCGGTGAACACATCCTGCGGCCGCAGCGGGCTCTGCAATCCTCTATCCATCATGCCCTCTCAGTCACTCCATGTCTCCAGCTCGATCGATCGATCAACAACGCCCGTCTGTCTGTGTATGTGTACACAAAACATACGTAAAAAGGCAGCGATCCGACAAAGAACCGAATCAGAGGGAGAAGCAAACAATCAAGCAAGCGTCATGTCGGCTGCTCGTTGCCTCATCGTGCTGATTGCCTTCGTTCTGCTTCACTCCTCATGTGCCGACGAGCTGTTGCCCCAGCTGCTCACAGGTCTGGCTGCACCTGCCCCTGCCGCAGAGCTAGAAGCACCCACACCACACCCGTACGAGGAACTCCGTGCAGGTGGGCAGTGGCAAAGCACACTGCCGACGACGATTGACTCACTTTGCCTGCCTGCCTGCCTGCCTGCTTGTGTGTTGTGTTGTGTTGTGTTGTGTTTGGTGCAGAGAGGGAGTCCAAGTTGACAGCCATCAATGACGCGTTGGACACGTTGAGGGCTGAGGGCGGCCAGTTGGACCAACAGATTGAGCTGCTCAGGCAGCAGGGCCGCACACTCCCGGAAGAGCGAAAGGCCGGCGCAGAGATCTCCAGGTGCAGACAGACAGACAGACAGAGATGGAAAGACAGACAGGCCACCTCTCAATGAGTTAGTCCTCGGTGTGTGTGTGTGTGTGTGTGTTTAGGCGGAATCTGCCGGTGTCGCCGCTCGACGTGCAGGCCATACAAGAGGAAAAGAAGGCACACACCCCTCCCCCCCCCCCACAG